TGACTGATTGACTGACTGACTGACTGACTGATTGACTGATTGACTGATTGACTAATTGACTGATTGACTGATTGACTGATTGACTTATTGACTGATTGACTGATTGACTGATTGGCTGATTGGCTGATTGGCTGATTGACTGATTGATTGATTGATTGATTATAGTAATATGTCGTTTACGACGAAAGATATGGACAACGACCTGAGCGGTGACAACTGTGCACTTTTGTTCAAAGGTGCTTGGTGGTACAACAATTGTCATCATTCTAACCTCAACGGCTTGTATCATGGAGGCCCATTCAGTGATTCGCCTGCAGATGGTGTTTCTTGGAATTCCTTCAGAGGATATATGTATTCACTGAAACGTACCGAGATGAAGATGCGACCTTCAAATTGGAAATGACTAAATGGTGCTGAAAACTGTGGTCAATAGTTTCATGATCGATTACCACTTTTGTGATTAACATTTATTTAAGCTAACAGTTGTAGGTCTTGAAAATATTTAGTTTAGTCCATTTGTTTTCCCAATCAGTAAGTTTGGCTGATTTAAAGCAGTCAGTTTTTTTCCAAATTTTCCACATCTCTCTGAATTAATGGCGTTAGTGGATCCGACTACTTCTTTGAAAAGAAATAACTCGCGTGTTTGTTTCGTCGTGATAATTTATGTAAGGTGAAGGCAAAGATGAAGAAGCATGTAAACAACAAGTGATACGTAAAGCCGTCAACCTTGAGAGGTGACACCATACTGGTCAAGAGAAATGATTGAAGAAGAATAGCGACTCACCAAATGATCCGAGACTGCACAGAGATAGAGAGAAAGGGATCCATGGTGACCGCGGGAAATGATGATGGCGTTATGGTTGCGAGGATTTCATCGTTCTTTGAAAGCGTGCCCGCCGCAAAGGAAGGGAATGCCACTTCTGAAAGCGAGATGTTACGGCGCCGCAGCGTACGTGGACACGTCCAGTCAAGTTAGATGATTATGTTTGTGGCTAATAGGAGAACACAAGAGAACTGTGTTAAGACCCTGTTAATTGTTGAGGACTCTGAACTGTTCCTGTTAGTTTGAAGTGTTTTATTTTCGTTTTGCTCACTTTGCATTACGCCTTTTGCTATTCATTACGAGAAAATACGCATTCCTTCGCGTTAAGAGGCGAGCAATTGCGTGAAAATACAATCATTAGAGACAAAAAACCATCATTTTCACGTAAATCAGAGTCGTTAACCATTTTGCATTTTAATCAGAATTCATTAACAGTTTTGGGCATTCTCAAGCGTCATTCGTCAAACAAAAGAGAAAAATATACTTTCATTTGCGCTAACATTCAAGTCATCTACACCATCTTGGAAGTCAATGGAGACAATACACAAAAAATATAGCGGATAAACCAGTCATTAACATCTTTATCACACTGTTTGGAATTCAACAGTATTCCTGGACAGCATTAGTATGAATAAGACAACCATTTATGCACCTGTACAAACAATTCAGCGTTTTTTATTTTCAATATTCAAACATCAAATTCCAATTGAAAAATGCCTATTCCAAAGTTGTTTTGGACAATAATTCTACATAACTCCAACAGTAATTATGCATTCAGTCTCTGTTCAATGAAAACAATAGCGATAACAAGAGAATTCCTCAGAGACTAGTAGTCTTTGCTTTCAAAGTTCTGATTTTTTTTGTAAGTCTTTTTTGAAATAGGGTGAATTTGGCGCGTTTTGGCTCTGGAAAACGAAACATTTTTAAGTAGTTTTACAGAAGTTTTTAATTTTGAAACATAACTGAATGTCGAGTTTCGCGTTGAAAGACTGTGGTTGGCTAGAAAATAATATCAAGGTTATCGTCAGGCTGTAAAGTTTGTTAAAGCAAAGTTATGTGAAATTTTACCTGTTCTTGTGGTTTTGATTAATTCTTTCATTATCCTTGTAGAAATGATGCCGGAGCTCATCACACTAGTTTGATTGGTGAATAAGTATATATTATTTTGTTTCTTTCGTGGCCGAGTGACGAAGGCGGATCGCGTAAGGTGCATAGAGTGTTGCAAAGAAACCTTTCTATTTAGTCTTTATGGACTTCGTAAAGGTGGGTGATATGTTCGATAACGTTTCCAAAGGGATCCTTTCCGTAGTGCTGATGCCACATACAATCTTGTGGGTAGCCATCGGAAAGTTCTAAGGATGTTCCTGTCCGGGGCAATCCTCGCTTTATTCCCCACCATGTATTTTCAATGCCCTGTGTGGGGGCACTAGTGTCTGGGTCCACGAAGTTTAGGGTGTGGTTTCCTGTGAGATAATCATAGCCCTCGTCATTTATGCAATTGTAAGCTCTCCCTAAGTCGCTCATCACGGGTGTCCCCGGCAATATTTGAACGCGTATAGGTGGTTTGCACGTTACGTCATTGCCGCCATGTTGGTGGACGTAAACAATAAATATCTCATTAGCCTCTTTTTTTCGTCCACCAGTATTTGTTCCTTTCACCATTGTTACCTGTGTCTCTAGAGATTGGTTGCAAACCACCTATAATGAGGCAATAGTGTGTCTTTGTCCTTAGGCTCTACCGGAACGAGGAAGCTAGCCTTGGTTTGTCGGCAAGTGCCACCGAAGACCCACTTTCCTTCGATGGCTCGACCTTGGTGATACTTCATCTTGCCAAACGTGGACTCATCAATCTCAACAGTTTTACCACTTCCACCTATAGGTGAAAGTGGTAAAACTGTTTGACTAGCCAGTCAGAACGCGCCTTCAACGCTATCCACTGTTTTAGTATATACTAATGATGTATATTTGCTAAACCCCTGGGAATAAGTCATTTTATCACACGACTCGGGAAGTCAGAGGGCCAATAACTAAAATCAATTCCTGTAGCTGCTTGCAACATATCGTTGTCTCAATGAATTGTTTTCAGTTATGGATAATTTATCTTTCCCTGATTTTGGAGATGTTTTCGTGGAATGTCCTCTCAAAAACAGGTAGGGGATCATCATTTTATTTTTCTACACAACTTCTTATTTCCATAAAGACCAAGTTAAGTCAACGATGACAACTTACCGGTCGAAATTTAAGTACAGATGTTTAGTTTTTGGGTTTCATGGAAATGATGGCTACCGTCTGCAAATTATTGAAAATCTATTTTACCAAGTATTCTGTTTTTCGTCACCTATCTAATCTCTGATGATAACTATTACTTTTTTGAAATAAAAAAAGAGATTTAATAAGCAAATGTATGGAAAGCGAAGCCCTGAAATTATAATGTTTCATTTTAATTTCACTTCCAAATTATGATTACGTGATTCATAAAGTCGGTGCAGCAGATGTCAAGAACTAAAATTTGGGCTTTTAAACATTATTGTTTCGCTGCCAAATAAAATTGAAATGTTTTCAATCATAAAGAAGCGATAAAAGAAATCAGACAGTGTTGGGCGATTCTTAGAAATCAATAATTGATAGTTGTTCGGTGTTGTGATTTTTAAATAGTTCCATGCATAACAAAGGAGTTTCAAGAGCCAGTTACAAACAAGACTCTTCTAAATCACGTGATCAGCACACCGAGAGCAAAGACAGCAATGAGTTGTGAAATACAATGTTTCGTTGAAGTCACGTGTGTATCATACAACTTTGGTCGAAACGAGGATGGTGATAACGTGTGTGAGCTGAGTGATTCTGATGGTGTCAGAGAACCAGACGACTTGGTCACACGGCAGGACTTCCTCTATCGCGCGACAAAGGTATCATGGATAGGGAGAGGGAGTGTGGAGAAAACAATAACACGAATATGTAGAATTTTTTTTGATACAGACTGAATTTGCTCACTTTTGAGACACGAAATGTTGGCTTAAAACCTCTCAAAGCTTGGAAAAACGATGAATTTTGCATATGTTAGCTTAGTACGTTTTTATTCTACATCAAGAAGAGTTCTCTATCTTTGTATTTCGTTGTCGCTTGCTTCGAGTCTGTCAACACGATAAATACAATAATATACAGTGACTTATTTGCTTCTGTTGTGAGGTGCAAGACGCGATGTAAAGGAGTAATAAACGCTCTCTAAAAGGCCTTTGGGATTATGAAAATGTTATGACACCTTTCGCTAAATCTCTTCTGACTTGACTACGTGAGCCTCACCTGTCTGGTTGATCATCAATATCCATCTGTCCCTTAAATGTTCATGCTTTTATTCGCTGCTGAACCCCTCACGAAAGTTACTCAGTACCCATGTTTTAATGTATCTATGAATAAGGACCCTGCAGAAGTCCCTATAGAAAGTTGCAAGGTGTTGTCCACGATTGATGGCACTATTCATGCGTTAAATAACAAACCTTGATCTTATTTTTTGACATCAATTTTGCTCAAGAACGTTTTCGCGTTTTGTTATTTGGCGTAAACCGTTTGGAACGTCTTATCGTCGAAAAATTCCGATTCCTCTCATATCTTTGTTAAATCATTTTAAGAACGTTTGAAAAAGGACTTAAAAATCCATACATGTCCTGTAAACC